AAATTATCAAGATGGTTGACTTTTGGTCTAATTTTAGGCTCGTGATCTTCTCATGGCCTTTCTACTGGTTGCACTCACCTATGTGATTATTGGGGTGGTCTTTTACTTGGCCTTTCCTGAGCCAAAGGCCTGCATCGCGGACGTAAGGATTTACCCCTCGAGTATTTTTTAATTTTTAAATTTTGCTGAGAAATTACTCAGTCAGGTTCTGTTTAGGGGAAAAGCACAACAAAGATTATAAACAAACTGAACTAAAATAGCGACAAAATAGGGCAGCTTGTTTAATGTCATTTCCTTACACCCTCTTATATAAAACTCTACTCGGGTGTACTATACGGTTGGCGACCTAACAGATGAAAGGTAAGCAAATTCACAAGGGTCGGCCAATCCACCGCAATGAAAATTTTATTGCGATAAAGACTGGTCTCCCAAAAAGATGCAGCCTGTCTGCGAATGATTAATTCATAGCTAAAACATGCTTTACTTTACGAATCAATGAATGAAAACTTACGCGTTCCAGGTATTTGCATGGATGAGGAAAAAACGTTGACGAACATCTGATCACTTTTTTTATTGTCCTAAGCTTTCGAACTCTTACAGGAGTCCATCGTCCGAGATAAGAAACCGCAACAAAAAGGGGGGTTATTATAACGGACGTACACGATTCAGTTGTCAGTGGTCGTCGGGTCGTAAGAGGATAAGAGACAGCGATGAAAAAAGGAGGGGAGGGAGGGCAATTGTAGGGGTATACGTTAATTAGATGTCAGTGATGTCAACGTTTTTCAGGGCGTCAGCGACGAAAATGGGGCTAATTATAGAGCATGTGGGCCAATTAACTGTGACGGACGTCTGAGCGTGACTACACGGGACTGCGCAACGCTCTATACGCCGGCGCCGACTCGGTGAATTAAATTCTCGTCCGTAAACCAGGCTTTGATCAATTCCCGGCTCGTCTTGTTTCTGGCGTGTGCGAGTATCTTGACGGCCACAAAGTTGAACAAATGGCGTGTTTCGGCAGTATGGGCTGCAGCTTGTGATAATTCGTCGCCTAATCGTACCGCACTTTTACGTTTATGTATGCGCGACCCGAGCATGCGTTCAGTCTGCCCTGTATATTTATTAGGAGAGCTTGCGCAGAGGGTGCGACACACTTACCCAACTTGTTCAGTTGGGGTTCAGCCAGTCTTTTGTTTTCATTACCCTGCTGCGCATCGTAGCTTTCGGTCTAAGTGCAATTCTAACAACTAGTCCCGCAGCGATGCGCTCGGTCGCTTCTGAGACGCCTTTTATGTATGGCAGAGCGTGCCATATCCTCGGTGGTTCTTCTGTTTGGGTCCTCCGGGGCCGAACACCTAGGCATCGGTTTATAAATGTTTTTGGATAACCTTCGCGGAGATACCGGGCCTCGCGTACCTTTGTACGTAGACGACATGTTTGTTATCATCAAGATGAGCATTCTGAAAAACTTCCATAACTCGCTCAATGGAATCTTTCCTGACATTCAATTTACGAGGGAAGAACAAAAAGAGCAGCAGCTGCCTTTTCTTGATGTCTTCTTCAAGAGAACGCTCAACGGTGAAATCGAGACTACGATTAATAGGAAGGCAACGAACACAGCATAACTTCTCAGTTTTCACAGTAACCACCCCGTTGCTCACAAATGGGTCTCCCACTCCGTGGGATCTGTGTCAGACGTGGTCGCTCCGGCCGCGCCCGCCACCCTCACCTTATCCCGCCTCCGGCCTTTTTGATTCCGTCATGACACCGGACATAGGCGGGTGAGGGAAGAAAGACTACGGCAGATGCAGCGCAAGTCTACTGTCACTTAAAATTTATCCAATCGCATGTCACCTTCTAAGCAGCATCACACTGTGGAGCACACGATGGACCTAATAAAAA